CAAATAATATATTTAAACTTAAATAATGTTGCAAGTTTTAACATGCCTACTTTTCATTTTTTAAATACTGTTTTGACTACTTTAATGCTATAAGAAAAATGAGTAATTAAAACATGAATGAAAGTGTTTACGGGGGTGGACATGTTTCCTCCAGCCTCAGGCTTGGGGTGACTTGAAAGATACCTGCCCATCCCCAGCTTTCATCCCAGCTGTCCTGATGGTGGCTCTAGGCATTTCTCCTTTCTCTATATGAAGATCAAACTCCAGAAACAAATCCAAATCTTACAGTATGTTAGGGCACGCTATGATGATGAGCAGCCAAAGCCTCAAGCAAGGGATGCTTCTGAAAACAAGACTTGTAGAACACAATGTGTGGAAGTAAAGCCAGTGTCGGAGCTCCTTCCTCTGCACACGGGGAGCAGACAGGAAGCTTCTGCCTCCCCTTCCTCACGTGGCCTGCAGCCACGTCTCCCCAGGTCAGACTTGAGGAGAATGAAACTTTGGCCTTCACCGTGGACACACTACCACGTGCTCCAAAGCCATGGCCTCTCCTCAGGTGGGTCCTGAGGAGAACAAAGCTCCGCTTCTAACCCTAACCCTGTCCCTAGGCTTTGACTCTGACCCTAAACCCTGATTCATACCCTGGTCCCTAATTCTGACCCTGACTTTGACCCTGACTTTTATCTTGACCCTGACCATGACCCCACCTCTAACCATACTTCCAGCCCTGACCCTTACCCAGACCCTAATTCTATCCCTAATCCTATTATTATCTTTACAATCTATCTCTAATCTCACCCTCTAGTGCTATATCGCTGTACCCAAAAGCACTTTTGGATTATTTAACTTGTTTTGCTTGAATTCTCTAAGGACATCCTAAAGGAGATGTCATTACGTATTCTGCAGTCCCTCTGAGTGGTATGGCTTCAGATAAGAAGTTCTAATACTTTGTAAGACATCAGAAGTCTGGAGGTTAACAGCACTGGGTTGTTAGGAATGCATGCTGGCATTCACGATAATCACTGGTGCTATTCTCCAAGTATTTTCCGTTCATTTTTTATGAATGCATTCTGACTGTTGTATCCCACCTACTTAAATTTTTGTACGACCACATTACCTTTTTTTTTTTTTTTTTTTTTTTTTTTTTTTTGCCATTGGAGGAGAGAAGAAATAGCATGTGACTTTTTCAGGAGAAATCTCCAACAGAGTTCTATTCAACATGCTTTCTGTCTTTTCTATAGCAATGGGGATCTTATTGATGGTACCTCCTTCAGTCTCGATTCCTGTTAGGACGACACAGCACGGAGCGACCACTCACCTGACCCATGATGAGATGCCGTGGTTTGTCACCGTGGTTTAACCTAGCCCCCACTGACTGATGCAGGGCTGAAGAATGAGTCAGAACTGGGTCTGGACGTGTGAAGTGCACTCCTCCAGGCTAAGTAAAATTCAAGTCTTGTTGCAAAGGTAACAGTAAGCACGATGTGTTATTAGAGTGAGTGTGGGATAAGTAAGGTAGATCAAATGAGAATGATGAGAAACTCAACGTTAAAAGACAGTGCTAATTTGGACTGTGGAGAGAGTCCAATGCCCTACTTAGCACTTGAGACTGTGATGGCTGAACAAACTCATTAAGAACCCGAAATGAAGGCTTGGGACAAATATCTGAGGGCGTCTAATATCCCAATTTTTCATCCTAGAATGGGCAGAGTCCTTAACCTCATTCTAGGGAGACTTCCAAAAGAAAAAAGACCGGCATTTCTCCAACAACCTACACTGAGAGACTTTCCTGCACGTCTGAGCGGTGGCTAACACTCCTCACCTTTCATTCTGTCCTCAGTGTTTTGGGGAAACATCTTTAACTCTCTGTGACTTACAGGTTATTGAGCGGCCCTTATCATTCCCTCCAGAGACAGAAAAGACTAATGATGAGGGAGCCTGAGCTCACAGCAGCAAGCGGGCATGTGTGCTCAGCAGCCATGCGGCTCATCCGCTAGGAGATTACTACATACGATGTTCTGCAACATTGCTTAACACAAGAGGACTCTCACAGGAGGTTTAATTGCTTGTCTTTTTATAGGTGAAAGTTGGAGATGCAAGTGATTTTCCACACAGCCGGCAGCTAAAATATTCCCAATGTGGTTTTCACCGTGTGTTGCCATTTACTCGGGGTGGCTGGCAAAATGTGAGGGAAAATACTAGGGAAAGTTGGAAGATTATTGTCTCTAACCCCAAAATATATAAAATTAGCCCTATCAATTTGAAAAAGTCCAGTTTCTTTGTGAGATAACAGTATAAAACATGTTATTTTTCATCACAATTTGAAATCAGTTGGGAACCTCTGCAGCTCAGCCACTGGCTGATGCACTGTCGCAAAGCGGTACTCCAACCTTCTCACTTCCGTGGCCGAATTTCTTCCCAGGTACTCCTGCTGAGTTTGAGCCTCAACAAGGAACTCAACGAAGTGCCATTTAAAACACTGAAGTATCTTTGCCTGCCTGGTTTGCAAGATTAAAAGGACTGATAAAGTTTTACTGTTGGTGAAAGCTACAGGCACTCTCTTGCTAACCCTAAACCCTCACTGACCCTGACCTCTTCCCCACAATCCCTCAGGTATGTCCCATTTCTGCTAAATTTTATCCTCCAAACTTCTAACCCTTAATGCTCTAAATACAAACCAACCTATAGGCAATCCCATCCCCAATTTAATACTAAATTACACTAGGAAATGAAATCACAACAACAGAAAGGCATAGATCAATGCCTAGCCTAATTATAAAATAATGCTTAACAAAATCATCATAATTTGATACTAAGACATATTTGAAGGATTACAGACCATGATCACTACATCCTTTTCTCAGAAAATCAAGCTGGCTTTGCATACTAAAGCCATCCCTGCAAATAGACATCAACTAAGCAGAATGAAGAAGCTGCTCTAAATTCTTTGGGGTGTTGTTAATTCAATTTGACTTCATATAAATCTTATGAGGCAGGCATTGCTATTCTTGCCCTCACTTTACAGATGAACAAACTGAGACGATGCGTGGCACACAGCAGCCCCTGTTGAATTTCTTTTCCTGGCACCCTGGCTGGCAATGATTGAAATTGAGCTTTCAAGGCCCTTAACACTTTCATGTCAAGCTTTACTGCCCTGCACTAAGTCCCTGTCTCCCCACCAGCAGGACAGGGTCGGGGGTGGGAGATGCTCAGAGGACAGTAAGCAAGTCTGATTCATTCGTGTTACCTGAACCGAGTCCAGGGCCAACCTGGCACAAGGAGGCCTCAGGAAAGAAATTTAACAAATGAACCAACACACACAGATGAACATCATCTAATCTGCAACGAAGGCACCATGGTTTCCTGTTATGGGGAAAGAATCGGGCTACAGGGTGCATGGGGTTCTTCTCACATCATCACCCACCATAGACCTCCACATCCTGGGGCTCTCTGTACATCTGTCTTTATGAGGCTCTGGTCCCTTGAGCTAAAGGATTTTTTTTTTCTTGAGACAGAGTCTCATTCTGTTGCCAGGCTGGAGTGCACCGGCGGAATCTTGGCTCACTGCAACCTCCGCCTCCCAGGTTCAAGGGATTCTCCTGTCTCAGCCTCCCAAGTAGCTGGGACTACAGGCGCATGCCACCACGCCCAGCTAATTTTTTTATTTTTAGTAGAGAGGGGGTTTCACCATGTTGGCCAGATGGTCTTGACCTCTTGACCTTGTGATCTGCCTGCTTAGGCCTCCCAAAGTGCTGGAATTACAGGCGTGAGCCACCATGCCACCTAGAGGAAATCTGAGCCTTGGTTTTTTGAAGACCCAAGACCCACATTTGGGGACCTGAGTCTCAAAGGTCTCACGTATCTGAGTCCTTAGACTCCTTGTGCCCCCATATTTGAGTCTCTGGGGTCTCCAAGGCCCTTGGGCTTTGTGGGGAGGGTGGAGACCTCCAGATCCCTGTGTTTCAAGGGTACACATGGTTGTCTCCAAGTCTACTGGTTCTCTCAGCTTCTTTGGTGCCAGAAGTCTGCGTTTTTAACCCCCTTCATCTCAAGGGCCTCAGTCTCTGAGCCTCTGGGCTCCTGGGTTCAGTGAGAAGGGTCTTTGGATCCTTCCATTTAGAGAGTCTGGGGTCTCCATGACCCTGGGTCCACGGACCACGGGATCAGAAGCCTCAACCTTTGGATCCCTCAGTCTTGAAATTCAGGGCCTCTTGGGTGCCCAGGGTCTCCAGATCCAGTCAAAAACACTCTAACGTGTTCTCTGTCCTCTAGTTCCACCTCCCACTCCACGTGAAAGTACTGGGTGGCTGTCCATTTCACTGCCCGGCGTCTGCGTTACCTTTCATCATTTTCTCTCGTCGTTGTCCCAGTCCTCACCACAGTCAGTGTTTTTTTACAAGTCCTATGGGAACCACCTTCAAAACAGATCATTTTCTCTCGTCATTGCCCCAGTGCTCATCACAGTCAGTGTTTTACAAGTCCTATGGGAACCACCTTCAAAACAGACCAGAAATTTACTTTCTTCAGTTGTACCCACTATCTAGAACCAACAGTACGTGCACACACCACACCCCCAATCGCTGACATCTGACGCACAGGCGGGGTCCCTCAGCTGCACCCAATTCGACCTGAGCACGAGCATCACCAACTGCCCCGCGTGCGCGCAGAACACCACGCCCATCCTCGGAGTCTGTTCCGCGCATGCGCTGTCTGAGCCTTTTACACTTGCGACCAACCCCAGCAACCCCACCTTCAATTCTCACCCGCAACCCCGCCTCAAAGGGCAGAAATCATATGCCCTATAATCCCCTTAAAATCCTGTAAAAATCCCACAAGCCAGTTAATCAGAATACAACTACTTCGCTTATCCAGCAACACGAACCTGCCGCGGGCAGGGCGCCGCCATAGCAACGACAGTACACACAGCTCCGCGGCTCCCTGCGCCCGTGCGCAGGCGCAGAAAATAAAAGGGGCAGTGCATTTTGGAAGCAGCAGAAAGAGCAAGGGAAGTGTTTCTGGGAGTTGTAGGCCAAGCGGGACCTCAGAGCCACGGGCGCAGAAAGCAAAGGGGGCAGTGCATTTCGGGGGCAGCAGAAAGCACAATACAAATGTTTCTCGGAGTCGTAAGCTAAGCGGAACCCCGGAGCCACTGGCTCATCCAGCGGAGCTGCTTCATGGGATGCTGGGAGCTGTAGGTAAGGAAGTCCCAAGACCTTGTGGGAGTGGTAGTCTCGGAGTAGTCACTTCCGTGCCAGGCTTCCGCGTGGTGGGCAGTGTGGACGTCCCAGCACTGCGTTCTGCCCGGGTGAGTATTTATTCCTGCAGTGGGTTGGCATGTGGACCCTGGCTCTTTGTTGCGGTGCCGTGGGAGGGTTGAAGGTCTCTACGAGCGTGAGACGCTTCTATGATTTCCCAGCGCGGTGTCCCTGAGGCCTTGTAGCCAGGATTCCCACTTTGGACGCTGCGATCTGGCCTGTCTCTTACCGGGCCACCCACTTCCCCAAGACAGGACATTACCATCTCCCTGTCCCCGCCCCCACGCCACACTCTGAGTCGTTTTGACAAGGCTGCAATCCAGAGGCAACCCCGGGGTCCGCGATCTCTCTTCTGGGAGCATTTATTATTCCCTCATCCTACAGATATTTACTGAGCACCGACTCTGCGCAAGTTCGGGGGGCGCGGGGCGGGCAGCAGACCAACCCTGCCCCTGCCTTGAAGAAGCAGAGAAACAGACCTGTCACCAGTGACAGCGAGTCAGGATCAGGGCCGGTATGGAGGCACACATGCAGCTCTGGGGGCCCTGGGGGAGGCGCCCGACTCAGTGACTGGGGTCCATAAAGTCTTTGAGGGAAGACGTTTAACATGCACGTCAAACTTGACATGTCCAAATGGAATTCCTGGTCTTCTCCCCTCAAAAAATGGCCCCACCATCCCTCCAGTGCTCAGGCCAGAACCTCAAAGTTACCCTTCATCACTTTCTCTCATCATTGCCCCAGTCAATCTGCCCGGCTTGACCCTGGGAGGCAGAGGTTGCACTGACCCGAAATTGTGCCACTGCACTTTAGCCTGGGTGACAGAGTGAGACTCCATCTCAAAAAATTTAAAACTTATTTTAAAATATTTTTTAAAGAATGGAAAGAGTTGGGTGCTAGGCAGGAGCCCTGAAAACATGAAAAGGCCTCCCCAGAAGAGAATTGAGCAGAAAGTCCAGGAGCACAGAGGAGGAGTGAGTCAAAAACGGCGGGGAGGAAAGATTCCAAGGGGTGCTGCAGCCATCTGGGAGACAGACAGACCTGACTAGGGTGCTGTCATGGAGATGGACAGAAGGGTGTGTCTGTTTTGAAGCCATATTCAAATAGGATTTGCTATTTCATTTAGGTACCTGGAGTTTGAGAAGGTCCGGAGTTGGCATTGCAGTTTGGTGCCACTCACTGGGAGCATGACAAGTGTAAGGAGAGGAAGAGCAGTCCAGTTTCCTGAACCCCAAAGCTTCTGGCCTGAGCAGCTAGATGGATGGAGCTGCCTTGTGCTCCAGGAGAAGCCCGTTGAGGTAGAGGAATCAGGAATTTGGGTTTGGAGATGCCTATTAGACATCTGCGTGGCACTGGCCTCTGCCCTCAGAGAAGTTAGAAACGGTAAATATAGTCACATAAAATAATTCCACACATTGTGTGGAATGTGACCTGCCTGCTCTGAATGGCAAGGAGACAAAGGCAGTAGTCCAGGCCGAAGGTGATGGTGGCTTGGGGAGGGGAACTGAGCCTGGAGAGTTTTTGTGGATTCACCAGGCAGAGAGGACCAAGATTTGACTGGAGGTTTGCAGTCTTGGAGTTTGGGTGAAGAAGGATGAGGTAGGAAAGAAAACAGATGGAAGTCAAAGATGGGCTGATCCATGTCTTGATGAGGCCACATTAACTTGTAGGGGATTCTGATACCAGAGCAGGGTTGAGTTCAATCTTGGAGGCCCACATATTCTTTCATCCCCAAAATGGGTGCAACCCCAGCTGGTCTCCCGAGAGGTGGGATCCAGGCTGCCTGTGTGTTCCCTGGAGAAGGTGATCACCCTGCCTTTCACAGGATACAATCAGAACCCACTCCTGGAGACCGTATCAAACCCTACAGAGTGAAATCAATTGGCCTTTCCTGTTTTCCACCTTCTCCTGAACACAGCTTCAATCCCCTGGCCTCCCTCTGACCTTAGAGTCATAAATTCCTCACCTCCCAAGCTCACTTAACAGCCCTGGTGGCCTCCCTGGAGGTTTTCACAAATGGTCCTTAATATACACCCCATCCCTCTGGACAAGACACAACCTAATCTTGGGTATAACCTGTTTGTCCTCCCTATCTTTAGCCCTGAAGCCAGCTTCTTAAGCTACTTATCTTCTTGGTGCATAATGGTGCAATCCAAGAAGCCTTCCCTAAGGCAGTGGCTTTCTTACACCAGGACCCACTTATAACCGTCCTGTCTCCAGTGCTAGAAGAAGTCACTCCACTCGCGCACAAGTTTCCCTGGTCTATTCCGGCCAGACGGGCAATCCTGACAATCTCCCTGAAGGCAAGGACCCTGCAATCCGGAATCCACACGTAACCCACCTCCTCTCTCTCCCTGTTTAGGAGAAGCCGACGCCTCCCGCAATGCCCGCCCCACCGTGTACCTCCTGCCACGCGGCACGCGCTGCCCTCCGCCGTCCTCGCTCCGGCCAAGCGTTGTGCGGTGCCTGCTTCTGCACAGCCTTTGAGGCCGAGGTGCTGCACACGGTGCTCGCGGGCCGCCTGCTGCCGCCTGGTGCAGTGGTGGCTGTGGGCGCCTCGGGCGGCAAGGACTCCACGGTGCTGGCACACGTGCTGCGCGAGCTGGCGCCGCGCCTGGGCATCTCACTGCAGCTCGTGGCCGTCGACGAGGGCATCGGCGGCTACCGGGACGCGGCGCTGGCGGCCGTGCGGCGCCAGGCGGCGCGCTGGGAGCTGCCGCTCACCGTCGTGGCCTACGAAGACCTCTTCGGGGGCTGGACAATGGATGCGGTGGCCCGCAGCACAGCTGGGTCCGGCCGCAGCCGCTCCTGCTGCACCTTCTGCGGGGTGCTGCGTCGCCGGGCGCTGGAGGAAGGGGCACGCCGCGTGGGAGCCACGCACATCGTGACGGGTGAGCGCAGGCGCAGGCGCAGGCGCGGAGCGGCATGCGCAGAGGCAGTGGGGCGCATGCATGGGCCAGGGAGCGGGGCCTGATAGGGGACTTATGCGCATGCTCCAGAAGCGGCGGGGAGGTGGGGGAGACCTTGGGCGTGGCTTAACTGGGGGAGGATCCCAGTCAGGAGATACGAAAGTGCGCATGCTCCAGTTTGGGGCTGGTGCCCTAAGAAGGTTCTAGACGCTGGACCGAGGGGCCAGGCAGGGTTCATGAAAGTTTTCGGGGTCTTGGCCACAGTCTTGGTCTGCAGAGATTGCCAAACGGGTGGGAGGTGAAAGTCTCTGGAGATTAGATTTCTGGTTAAGTGTTTCTAACATGCTTGATCTCTTATGGTCCACTTTTCAGAATCCGGCTCTGTCTCTAAAAAGCATCTCTGCCTCTTAATTCCTTTTTTTTGTTGGCCTCTCCTCTCTTTGTAAGTTTTTTATTCTCTCTCTTTCATCCATTCCTTCAACAAACAGATGCTGAGTTTCTGCTACATGCCGGATCCCATGTGGCCAAAGTTGTTAACTACTCTGTACTTCTGTTTCTCTCCATCCCTAAAACAGGAATATGAATGGTACCCAGCTCATAAACTTGTTATTACAATTAGATGAGTCTATTTTGTAGAAGTATAATATCTATTTTATAGTTACGTTACATAACCTGTGTGATACAGTATAGATGACACATTTTATACGTGCTATATTATCATCATCGTTGTCGGGCTAGGACTGAGAATACAGTTACACACAAGCTCCTACCTCCGCATGGTTATCAAGTACAAAATTATAAACACTATACATGTTACTGACCATGTATGGACATGTTAAGGACTATGTGTACACACAGAGAACCCTATGATGTGGAAGGAGTGGGGTCAGGGAACTATTTTGAAATCTGAAGGCTCACAGTAAGCGGTAAAGGGGGTAGAATTGGGGAGAGGTTGTTGGCCTGTACAAAAGCCAATTTGGGCTGCCCCAAGAAGTCCAGTGTGGCTGGATCCCAGAAAGCAAGGGCAGGGGAGGCTGGAGAACTGGAAGAGGTCAGGCCTTACCCTGTAGGCTGTGGTGGAACCAGTAAAAGAGACAACAAGGGAGTTTCACTTTGAAAAGCTCACCCAGGCCATGGTGAGGAACCTGGGTTGGAGGGGCAGAGACAAAGCCAAGGAGACCAGTCAGTGGGGAGCCAACTGCAGTCATGGAGGTGAGAGTGGTGGTTGGAGAGAATCAGCACATTCGAAGGGTATGAAGGCAAAAGTCGTTCTGAGTCTGTCATCTGCCACTGTGCTAGGGCATCGGCTCTGGGGAAGGCTTCCTGAGCTTCAATCACTGGTGTGGCCCTTTCCTTCCTGAATAACTTTGGAGAAATCCCTAGATCTCTGATTGAAAATGGGAACAATAATCCTTTCCATACAAGACCAGTATATGAAAAGAATGAGAGGCTTGGGTCAGGCATGGTGGCTCACGCCTGTAATCCCAGCACTTTGGGAGGCCGAGGCAGGTGGATCACGAGGTCAAGAGTTCGAGACCAGCATGGCCAACATGGTGAAACCCCATCTCTACTAAGAAAACGAAAATTACCTGAGCATGGTGGCAGGCCCCTGTAATCCCAGCTACTTGGGAGGCTGAGGCAGGAGGACTGCTTGAACCCAGGAGACAGAGGTTGCAGCGAGCCGAGATCACGCCACTGCAACTCCAGCTTGCGCGACAGAGCAAGACCCCTGTCTCAGTGGGGGAAAAGAAAAGAATGAGAGGCTGCCTCGGGTTTTAAAGTTAATTTGATAGAATCACTTAGTAATTGTACTTCTAAAAGTAATGAAGGCTTCCAGAAAAATCCCTAACTTGGAAGGTGATTTTTCCCTTTGTTTACACACTCTATTGTCAAAGGCATAGTAATGATTGTTGTAATAATTATCACAAAATCGGGAGCTCCTAAGTGAGTTTGTAATGACAAGGCGTGGAGCAAATCCAGTCTCTCCTGATGGATGTGGTTTACGACTTTAAGTCAATAGTAAACGTTTAATCAGATGTCATTTCCAGTAGCAAACATGGTAATCTCAAGGTCACAGGGCTTGGCAGTTCTTTGGAAGGTAACCATTACTACAAACACAATTAGAGCCAACTTCTTGGAGGATTTTTACCATATAGACCAGGGTGTCTCAACTTCGGCCCTATTGACATTTGGGGCCAGATGGTTAGTTGTTAGGGAAGTCCTCTTCGTTATAGGATTTTAGCAGCATCCCTGGCCTCTACCCACTAGATGCTATTTAATAGTAGCACCACACCCCTAGCCTGACAACCGGAAATGTCTCCAGCCATTGCCAAATGTCTCAGGGGGAGGGAAGGAGGGCAGAATCATCCCAGATTGAGAAGCACTGATACAGACTCAAGTATAACTTGACAAGACACAGAACAAGTACAGCTTCAATTTCATGGTGACCAGTGTGTAAATCTTTCTCACTGTTACTTCTAAACAAAGATAACAAAAACACTGCAGTGATTACAGGTGTGGTGGTTCATGCCAGTAATCCCAGCCACTCTGGGAGGCGGAGGCAGATGGATCACTTGAGCTCAGGAGTTCAAGACCAGCCTGGCCATTGTGGAGAAACTCCGTCTGTACAGAAATGCAAAAATTAGCTGGGCATGGTGGTGTGTACCTGTGGTCCAAGCTACTCTGGAGGCTGAGGTGGGGCAGGGGGCGGGGATCACTTAAGCTTGGGAGACAGAGGTTGCAGTGAGCTGAGATGAAGCCACTGTACTCCAGCCTGGGCACTAAAGCGAGACACACACACACAGAAAAAAAAACATAAACTACGGTCTGTGTTATCAGAGGCCCTGTGTCAAGAACTATGTGTTTTTTCTGGCTGCTATAACAAATTACTTAAAATTTCACAGCTTTAAACAACACAGATTTATTATCTTGCATTTCTGGAGATTAGAAGTCTGGCAAGTCTCACCAGGCTAAAACCAAAGTGTCAACAGTGCCGAGTTTCTCCTGGAGGCTCTTGGGCCGGGGGGTCCATTTCCTTGCCTTTTCCAGCTTCTGGAGGCCGCCCACATTCCTGGCTCATGCTGGCCCATGGCCTCTTCCTCCATTCTCTTGTCTTTTTTATTTTCTTTTGAAACAGTCTTGCTTTGTTGCCCAGGCTGGAGTGCAGTGGCGCAGTCTCAGCTCACTGCAACCTCTGCCTCCTGGGCTCAAGAGATTCTCATGCCTCAGCCTCCCAAGTAGCTGGGGTTACAGGTGCGTGCCACCACACCCTGCTAATTTTTGGATTTTTAGTAGACATGGGGTTTCGCCATGTTGGCCAGGCTGGTCTCAAACTCCTGGCCTCAGGTGATCCTCCCGCTTCGGCCTCCCAAAGTGCTGGGATTACAAGCGTGAGCCACTGTGCCCAGCTCTTCATCCATTTTCAAGGCTAAGGATGGCAGGTTTGAGTCCTACTCTGTTTGCGTCTGCCCTCACAACCCCCATATGCAGTAGGCGGGTGGCAAATGAGGTACCCCCAAGTCCCCCAGAGAGCTTGTGTGTGTTACCCTCTTGATTCCTGCTGTGTTCACCTCCAGCCTCCACCTGCCTGTCCCACAGTGCCCAGGGGGGCTCCATGGCCCTGTCTCCCTCTCCTGAACTCCGGGTCCTTGTGCCCTATGGTGCCCAGGGGAGCTCCATGGCTCAGGCTCCCCCTTCCCCATCTGTCTCTGGGTCCTGGCTGCCCGCTATGTTCAAAGGTCTCCCTGGTCCTCTCTCTCCCTCTTCTGCCTCCCTCCTCCACTCTAAGGGTCTTCGTGATTACATGGAGCACACCTGGATAATCTGCCATACTCTTCCCTATTGAAAAGCCGCTTGATTAGCAGCCCCAATTCAACGTGCGACCTTAATTCCCCTTTGCCCGGCAGCCAAACACATCCATAGGTTCCCAAGATTAGGCCCTGGACACCCTAGGCGGTGGCGGAGAGAGCAGCCTGCCTACCCCACCAGCTCTGTTGAGAATCTCTGTTAAATGCGTTAAACACCATTCTGATTTTTGTGTACAGTTTGAATTGCAGTTTTAACTGAGGATGATAAGGTTATTAGCAGCATAATGCACTTTTACTCCCTATAGAAAAGGGCAACTAGCGTAAGGTCTGCTCTGCAGTAGGCGGGTGGTCCGTGAGGCTCCCCGGCAAGTTGCGCCAGGGGAGCTTATGTTTCTCTTTGATTTTTTTTGTTGTGTCCACCTCCAGACTGTACCTGGCTGCCTCTCGGTTCCCCAGGGGTCTCCATGGCTCTCTCCCCGCTCCCTGTCTCTGGATCCTGGCTGTCACACGTTTTTCAGGGGTCTCCATGGCTCACTCTCCCCCTCGCCATCTCTTCTGGGTCCTGGCGGTCCCACCGTGCCCTGGGTCCCCATGGGTCTCCCTCCCAGTCTCCGTCTGGGTCCTGGTGGACCCTTGGTTCCCCCGGGGGGGGGGGGCTCCCTGACCAGCAGCGCCCTCCGCGCCCCAGCTCACCCGCTCCCGTCTGTCCCCACCAGGTCACAACGCAGACGACATGGCGGAGACCGTGCTCATGAACTTCCTGCGGGGCGACGCGGGGCGGCTGGCCCGGGGCGGGGGCCTGGGCTCCCCGGGTGAGGGGAGCGCCCTGCCGCGCTGCCGCCCGCTGCAGCTGGCCTCGCAGAAGGAGGTGGTGCTGTACGCGCACTTCCGCCGCCTCGACTACTTCTCCGAGGAGTGCGTCTACGCGCCCGAGGCCTTCCGCGGCCACGCCCGGGACCTGCTCAAGCGCCTGGAGGCGGCGCGGCCGTCGGCGGTGCTGGACCTCGTGCACTCCGCCGAGCGCCTGGCGCTGGCCGCGTCCGCTCGGCCCCCGCGCCCCGGCGCCTGCTCCCGCTGCGGGGCTCTGGCCAGCCGCGCGCTCTGCCAGGCCTGCGCGCTCCTGGACGGCCTGAACCGCGGCCGGCCCCGCCTGGCCATCGGCAAGGGCCGCCGGGGGCTGGACGAGGAGGCGACGCCGGGGACGCCCGGGGACCCGGCCCAGACCCCCACCCCCAAGGCCGTCCCCACCTTCTAGCGACTCCCGGGGCCTCCCGCCGGGATCTGACATCCCCCAGGATGGGGACTGCCTGTAAATGACAACTGCGAATAAACCCCCGTTACCTTGCCCGGCCTTCCATGTGAGGTTGGCAGGGGGACGAGGCCCTGGTGACCTGAAATCCTGAAGAAACTGGGACCCCAGACTTCGGGGTCTCAGGGAGGAAGGGTCTCACGCTGGCTTTCTGGCTCTGAGGGCGGCGGGGACTGGGGGCTCATCCTAGGTCTGAGAGAGGAGGGCTAGGCCCAGAGGAAGTGGGCTGGGGTCCTCAGGCATCTGCACCTGAGGAAGGAGGGCCTGGGGTCGCGGACTCCTGGGTCTCACGGGAGGGGGCTGAACCCGTGATTCCTGAGCCAGTGGGGATAGGTTGGGGACCACCTGTCTCCTGGCTCGTTCTGGGCGCGATCAGCGTGATCCTGACCCTCCTTGAAAACCAGATTCCTGATGCTTCCTGTTTGCCCGCAGTGGGGTAAGCAGAGTGACATGAATTGATGGACACACGCCATTCACAGCCCCCGTCACGCTGCCTCCCTTACGGCGCTTCGTCTGCAGCACGCGCTGCACCCTCTCATTTGGTCTCCACCACGGCCTCACTGGCTTGTAGCCTGAGGTGGCAAATGGCCCTAAGACACCCAGCCGGAAGGGGTCAAATCGAGGGCTCCCTCCAGAGCTCTCAAAGATGGAAGGTCGTGGAATGGGCCGTCCCCCACCCATCCCCTCCGGAATCCCTCCTGGTATCTCTGTCATGGGTGAGGAGGGGTTTGGGTGGGCTCCCAAACCTTGGACTCCGGAGGCAGGATTGTGTGAGCCTATGTCAGTGACTTAGCCTCTGAGCTTTCATTTCTCTAAAAATGGAGTCAGTCCCCTCCCCCGCCCCAATTAAGGCACCACTGGGAGGAAATGGAAGATCGGAGAAGGTGCTGAATAAATGGTGAGTGCTTAGACCTGGTTGTTGATGTTACTGTCTGGCCACGCCAGGGGGCGCTGGGTTTCAGGGTTGCTGCCCTGTAGGTACGGGGAGGTTGTAAGGGTCTCAAGCTCCCTGGGGAGATGGTGCTCTCAGTCCCACCTCCAGGACTCGCTGGGCTGGCTTCTTGTCAGAAATGCCCCTTCTTCCCATCGCCCAGCTCAGATCCTCCAGGGTTCTCCCACCACTCAACCCAGGGCTTAGTATTCTCCCAAACCCCAGCTTCTCAGTCCCGTCCTCACCCTGTGGCCACCCAAACGTGGGCTGGAGGGCAAGGACCAGATTATTCACTGAAAACATCTATGAGCACCTCCTTTGCATCAGGCATTCGTCTGGGTTCTAGGAACATGGCAGTGAACAGGAGACAAGGCTCCTGCCCTCGTGAAGTTCAGTCTGGGAGAAATGGACAGGTAGCACCTCAGTATACCATGTCAGGTAGTGATGAAGGCTACAGATTAAAGATGATGAGAGAAGCAGGAAGAGCTCATTTCCACAGGGGTCAGGGAAGGAAGGGATTTGGAGGAAGTGATGTTATGCACAGACCTGCAGAAGCAAAAACAAATCATGGGGCCATTTGGGGGAAGAGCTTTCCTGGTGGAGGGAACTGCCGGTGCAAAAGCCCAGAGGTAGGAATAAGCTTGCAAGTGCAGGGAACGGCAACTACAGTGTGGTGGGAACAGAGTGGGTGAGGAAGAGACGAGATGAGCCAGTAAGCAGAGGTGGGTCACGCATGGCCTTGTGTTGGTGAGAAAGACTTGTATGTTAAGAGTGATGGTAGGTCTTTGGAGGGCTTTGGACCCAGCAGTGGGTCCAATTTCCATTTTCTAAAAGTTGCTCCAGCTGCTGTGAGGAGAATGTGCTGTAGGGGGTGCAAGATGACCGAGATCTGTTGTGCAGGATGATGCTTGTGTGCCTGTCCCGGTGCCAAGTGTGCCTTCCTCATTAGCTCATGACATGAGGATTGGGTTTTCAGCACCGAGTTTTTTAAATTGGTACATAGAAGGATCTAAAAGTTTATTTTTTTTTATTATTTTTACCTGAGTTATTGGGGTACAGGTGGTATTTGGTTACATAAGTTCTTTTTTTTTTTTTTTGAGACGGAGTTTCGCTCTTGTTACCCAGGCTGGAGTGCAATGGCGCGGTCTCGGCTCACTGCAACCTCCGCCTCCTGGGTTCAAGCAATTCTGCTGCCTCAGCCTCCCAAGTAGCTGGGATTACAGGCACGCGCCGCCATGCCCAGCTAATTTTTTGTATTTTTAGTAGAGACGGGGTTTCACCATGTTGACCAGGATGGTCTCGATCTCTTGACCTCGTGATCCACCCGCCTCGGCCTCCCAAAGTGCTGGGATTACAGGCTTGAGCCACCACTCCCGGCCACATGAGTAAGTTCTTTAGTGGAGATTTGTGAGATTTGGGTGCACCCATCACCTGAGCATATACACTGCACCATATTCGTGGTCTTTTATCCCTCACTCGCCGCTCACTCGTTCCTACAAGTCCCCAAAGTGCATTGTATCATTCGTATAAGCCTTTGCAACCTCATAGCTCAGCTCCCACATATCAGTGAGAACATACGATGGTTGGTTTTCATTCCTGAGTTACTTCACTTAGAATAATAGTCTCCAATCTCATCCAGGTCATTGCAAATGCTGTTAACTCATTCCTTTTTATGGCGGAGTAGTGTTCCACTATATATATATATATATATATTTATATATATATATATATATAAATATATATATATAATATAATAGTTTATATATTACATATATATGTATATATACACATAAATATATATTAAAATATATGTATTTATTATAATATATAAATATATATACACTGTATATATATCACAATTTATATATGTCATAGTTTATTCACATGTTGATCAATGAGCATTTGGGTTGGTTCCTTCAGCACCAATTTTATGAAGGATAAACTTGCAGCCCAGAGAGGTAAAGTTTCCGGGGCCACACTGCAGCCAATCAGGAAAGGAGCTGGGGCTCTCGACCCTTTTGCTGCCCTGCCTGTTGGAAGCCAGAGGGCCTAGGTTCCTATTGCTAATGTGCCAGTGATTTACCATGTGGCGTTGGGCAAGGGACCTTTCCCCTTCTGTTTATTGGAGTTTCTCCCTCTGCGTGGCGGAGTGGCCAGTGGTTGCATTTCTTTTGTGGTTTAAGGCACTCTCCAACAGAAAATGCAAACTGTATGTATAATTTAACATTTGCTCCTAGAGAAGGGACACAAGTGACATTTTAATAAATGTATTTGACCCACTTACATAAAATATTAGCATTTTAATATGTAATCAGTATGTTAAAACTTAAGCCAGATATTTTGTACCTGGTTTTTTTTTTTCGTACGAAGTTTTCAAATTTCAGTGTGTGTGTTATACTTCCAGCCCATCTTGATCCAGACTCCCCACACTTCAGCCGCCACTCGGGATTTGCAGGCACTCTACTGGACCTGGCAGATTTGCAAAGGTGCTTCCTAGACCCAGACTGCCCGAGGGTCAGAACCAAGCTCTGCTCGGCGAGCTGTGTGACCTTGAGCAGACTCCTCGGCTGTACAGTGTGGGAAGGAATGCGACTTCCACCCGGTGATTATTGTTAATAAATACGTATCAGTGCTTAGAAGAGCGCCTGGCATTGAGTGAGTGCTTGCCATCCCTCTCAGCCTGGGCTTGCAGCCTTCCTCACGGGGGCCTCTGAAGAGCTGGGGGTGCCAGGCGCAGTGGCTCACGCCTGAAATCCCAGCACTTTGGGAGGCCAAGGCAGGCAGATCACTTGAGGTCAGGAGTTTGAGACGGAACCCCATCTCTACTAAAAATACAAAAATTAGCCAGGTGGGGTGGCAGGTGCCTGTAATCCCAGCTACCCAGGAGGCTGAGGCTTGAACCAGGGAAGCAGATATTGCAGTGAGCGGAGATCTCAGGATTTGGCCACTGCACTCCAGCCTGGGCGACAGAGCCAGGCTCCATCTCAACAAAACAAAACAAGAACCCTGGGGGAAGGTGCTCTTTTCAGCTCTGGACACAAGTGGTCGCTGTGACCTCACCTGTGCATCAGGTTGTCATCGACAGCAAAACCAGGTCTCCCCTTCCCCGGCCCAGACCGGGAGCTCAGCTGTCTCTGCCCACCTACCCGCCGGTCTCTGAACCATTCCTCAAGGGTGAGACACAGGTCAGAAGAGATCTTAAGGCCCCGTATAAACACTGGACACTCCTTGACCTCTAGGTCCCTATGTTCATTCAGCCACTCAACAAATACTTTTGGAGCACATGATTGGTGACAGTGGTGGACGGAACAGAAGCTTGCCCTCCAGAGAGACAACAAACAAAACAAAAAACCAGAAAAATAAGTCAATTGTATAGAATGTCAGATGCTGCTAATGGCATATATGTACGTAGGAGAGACAGGGAAGCCTTCAAGGAGGAGATACTCTGGGAAAGGTGCAGGGTGAGGCAGAGAGCACAGGGTGGGATGGGGCAGGGGGTGGGTGAGGAGAGGTGGCAAACAGGGGAAAGTGCTCCTGGCAGGAAACAGCGGTGCAAACTCTGAGACTGAGGGAGAAAGCAGAGCGGGCAAGTGGAGAGAGGTGAGAGGGAGAGGCGACTTCGGCTTGTCTTTGGTTCTGAGCACTGCGGAAGCCATGGAGGATATTTGAGCAAAGGAGGGATACTGATCACCCCTTTATTCATGCAGCAAACATTTCCTGACACCTCCTTGGAGCTGACAGGTCCTGCGCAGGGCGGTGGGGCAATGCGGCTGAGTCAGCCCCGGTCCCTGCCCTCAATGGGCTCCCTGTCTGATGGCAGAGGCAGGCAGGGACACTGGCAAGTCAAGACCCAGAGGGATACGTGCCACCGTGGGGCCTAGGAGGGACACAGGGGAGGCCCGAGGTGGGGCTTCTAAGTCAGCACGCTGCGTCATGGAATGCTTCCTGAAGGAGGTAATGTTTAAACTGGGAGCTGGAGATGAGTAAGAATGAGCACAGGACAGGGTGAGATGGGGACAAATGTGTGAGGCTCAGAGGCCTGCAGGCATGGGAGCCCCGAGCCCCTGCGAGCTTTGCCGCTCCTCCTTGTGCAGGACGCCCTCCCTAAGGCACTGGAATTCTTCTGGTGTGATGGGGTGCTACGGAGGGTTAGAGCCCACAGGGGCAGCTCTAAATGTCAGAAAGATGCCTCTGGGGCCGTGTCCAGGAAAGACTGGAGTAGGGAGGATTCTGAGCCAGGAGCCCAGGGAGAGGCTGGGACAGAGGTCCCGGAATGGATCTGGTAGCCAAAACTGGGGCCATGGCAAGGGTGTCAGGATGGTGACAGCAGACGTGAGGGCTATTTAAGACGTTTTCACCGAGAGCTGGGAACCCTACTCAAAGCTGAGGGTGTGTTTCCTAAAAGTGAAGAGCCCTACATTTATTCAAAGGTGGTGTAAATCCTAGAGAAGTTTCTCCCAAGCAGACAGAACAAAAATAAAGATGTAGGCCTGGCACAGTGGCTCACGCCTGTAATCCCAGCACTTTGGGAGGCCGAGGCGGGCAGATCATGAGGTCAGGAGTTTGAGACCAGCCTGGCCAACATGGCGAAACCCCGTCTCTATTAAAAATAGGAAAAATTAGCCAGGCGTGGTGGCGCACACCTATAATCCCAACTACTCTGGAGGCTGAGGCAGGATAATCGCTCAAACCTAGGAGGCGGAGGTTGTAGTGAGCAGAGATCACACCATTGTACTCCAGCCTGGGCAGCAGAGCAAGACTCCGTCTCAAAAGTAAAATAAAACAAAAATAAAGATGTTCGCCACACATGCAGGTGGCCGTGGTAAAGCCGGGAGATCCTTTTGCTGAAGGAGTAGGGCTTAGTAAATATGGAGGCCCAGGGCAGGGAGTTGCTGAGGCCGGAGGCCCAAGTGAACACAGATGGTCCTTTAGCTGAACAGGAGGCCTTAGTCTTCACGGGACAAAGGGACTTCTGCTGTG